GGCACACCGTAACCAGATACCTTTATTGATTGGGGGGAGGAGGGGAGATAAAACAAGGAAGTCAGGATACACTTTGAGCAAACAATCAATCAGAGTCTTATAGAGTCTTGGACATAATAATCCTTTTAAAACGTGACTGGCCTAGACATAAATCCTGACTTCTGGCTAGTTTCCAGGTCTTTGTTTACAGATAATCGCCTAGGCAGCAGCCTAGGGGCACGTTGCTTGTTGCTTTTAAAATGCCCGCCGCTAGGAAGATAGTGTTTCCTCAGGATTTTATCCATCCAGGTTACCTGATTCAGAGGTTCCTAACCACTGGGCCACAGCCTGGTACCAGACCATGGCGGGTTGGCTGCTGGGTTATGGTACGAGCCCCCCGCTTGGTGCCCTGTCTGTCCTCCTGGGTGAGTGGCTTCCAGGGTTAAAGCTGAGTTTCCTGGGTTAAAGCAGCATGGGCAGCCCTGGGAGGGAGGCAGCCAGCTCTGTATGCCCCAGGCCGCGGTATAAGGAAGGTTGGGAACCACTGACCTGATCGACCATCCTGAACCAAAAAGAAAGTGAGAGAGAGGGACAGATCCACTTGGAATAACCCAAGTGAGGGGCAGAGAGAGGGGGATTTCTTCATAGTCTTTATCTATGCAAAGTTTCTGCATGTCCAGAAGTAACCATGCTTTCCTTCCAGCAGCAGACCTGGAGGAGAAATATACTACTTACAAAATGTTTTATTTTTTTTTTCCTATTGCTCCCCCATTTCTTCTGTCTCTTGCTTGGAGGTTCAGTCTTGATACGTTGTTCACATTATTTTCTTACATAAATATATTGAGATAGGATTAGCATTTTTAGACAGAATGCAACTGTTTTTATTAAACACCTCATCTATAACGAACTATTTTGATAAAGTAATTTAGTATACAGATGTAGATATCTTTTCATAAATTGTTTTTACCATTGCCTGCTCTTTGTCACAGGACATGGAATTACTAGAAGATGGGGACCTAACTATTATAGGGGATCGTGGAGCTACACTGAGTGGGGGCCAGAAGGCCCGTGTAAATCTTGCCAGGTAAATATTTTTGTATTCTGTTGGTACCTCAGGCTAGTGGATATTATGATAAATAGCCACTGTTGGGAAATATAAGCTAATTAATTAATTAATTAAAAATTGTTTGGCAAGAACTTGACTGACACTTCTTTTAAATATTGTAGAGCAGTGTATCAAGATGCAGACATTTACCTCCTGGATGATCCACTGAGTGCAGTAGATGCAGAAGTTGGCAGGCACTTGTTTGAAAAGTATGTTGGTAGTCTTTTTTGTTTTTCATTTTAATTCACATTTGCTGATTTGTCAAGGGAAAATTTAGAAAAAAAGCATTGTTTTTAGATATAGTTATACTTAATATAGCTCACCTTATGAGAGTTCTCTTCCTGAATTTAGTATTTAAGATACCAGTGTGTAGCCAGGACCAGGGAGACTCTGTGTCCATGGACAGATGTTACATTTGTTGCACTGCAAAAGTCAAGTGGACAGACATGTATGCTCCATGAAGCACTGGAGAAACGTTGTTGGATCAAACAGCATCTTCTCTGTAGTATTACATTTGGTAGCACCATATATAATGGTTTTGCTGGTAGGTGTGGTAAGGTTTTGGCCCCCTCTTTGTCAGTGTCTTGCCCCTCAGTGACGTCAGGGAGAGCTCCAATTTCGGTGCCATCTAGATGGTCCAGGTGTTGCCCCTTCTCACCTGCCGTGTCTTTGATGTTGTTTTTGGGGAGGCAGTTCCCTGTCGGTGACCTGAAGGGATCTCGGCCCTGGGGTGTCTTCATGGGGCTCCAAACCTCCCCTTTACCCCACCCTTACTATGTCCTCAGCCTGGGTAAATGCTGCTCCCCGCAGGTCTTCCCATGCTGCCCACCTTGAAAGGGACGGGTCTTCCTGGCCCTCAATCTTCAGGGGTCCTCCCCTTGTCTCTGGGTTGGCTTCCCCTCTCCTGGGAAATTAAACCTGCTCCTTCCAACTGGCATCATCTACTTCCCCCTTCTGGGGGCTCGGAATCCCCCATGCTCTGTCCACTACAGGGCTGTCTGGGATGCCTGTGGGCTGGAGGAGTTGTCCCCAGCCACGGTGTCCAGAGTCTTGCTGCTCCCTGACAGCGTCTCTTGTGGCTGCCACCCCTCAATGGAGCTCCCTTGCCCCTGTCAGACCCTGAGGCTGCCCTCTGCCTCACTGGTTGGGGTTTTCCGGCAGGCTTGTGTCGACATCTCCTTCCAGCTGCCACTCGTCCTGGCTCCTAAAGTTAGTGCCAGGGCGTGCTGGGTGAGGGTCTGGGCCATGCTGGGGGGGCTTTTGCCTCCCCTCTCACAAATGCTTTGTGCAGTACATTGTACAGTACATTGTAGCATGACTGCACAATTTGTTGCACAGAAAATGGGATGCTTAGTGCTTAGAAAGACTGACACAACAATTCCATCGACAGTTAACAGAAAGGCTTTACTAATTAAATAATGAGTTTTTACAGGAAAATGACAGGTAGGCTTATTGCAATCTAAGAACAAAACAAGCTATAATCATGTACAGTACTATTAGCCATAACAGTGGTTTTCTCACCAACATGGGCAAGGAAGCGGTTCTGGTCTTTGCAGCTTCTCACCAGGCGTGGATCTGTCACCAAGGGTGGTCAGCTAGGCACAGGTTATGGTGGGTCAGCGTGGTGTTTCCCTTCTGGGATGAGTGCTTCTTGCTGGCAGCTTCCTTCTTCTCTTATACACCTTCTTTAAAGCATATTTCTCTTAATGGGTTGAAGATCAGGGTCCAGACAAAGCTGGTAGGGTGGAGGGTTTTTGTTCTTTGGTTTTGATGTCAATGTTAGCCTTTTGGATCCATCTCTGGTTGTTGTGGATGAAACTGACATGCACAAAAACCCTTGATCGCTCCGGAGGTTTATCTTTTGCTTAACTATAGTATGGTTTGATTGCTCCAGCCCAACACCTAAACCGGAGGTACACTGCTTGATTTAATTTCAGTAGGACTTGGTTACTTGAATTGAGCTCCTTAAACCTTAAATTGTAAGACGCTGTATAGGTTATTGTGATAGCAGGGCAGAACCCCAAATATTTTCCAGCTGGCAGAGACACCTAGATTGGCGGGGAATGTGATAGCAAGGGAGAGGTAATCACTCTGAAAGGGGAGCTTGTTCATAACTAAATTAGAGTAATTGGTCGTGGGTTGTACTTGATACTAGAGCTAGAGATGAGATTAACTGTATTGTTATGCTTTAGGTGGTCCCAGTCACGAGTTTATATTCTTGTGGAAAAAGACACTGATATTATAATTTAGTTATTTAATTTCACATGTAGGTCTGGACAAGCTCTGCGTCTAGCAATGACAGTATATCATCATGCTCCGTTCTCCTGTCCAGCTCTAAGGTGGGAGTGGGGGAAAGAGCGGAAGAGGAGGGTGGATGGACACAGGACACTTGTAGATGTGGTCCAGGATTGTATATGGTGAGGGGGAGGGGTGCTTTTAATTAGTGCAGCTCTGAGAGCCATTCTAGTTAAACTTTCTGGAATATCATGTGTATCAGCATCCATGCACTGAAAAATGGTGGCAGGGGCACTTTAACTAAAACTTGTTTAATGACCTTTATTTAAAACACTCCCGCTGCCATTTTTCAGCATGGGGAAACTGATACACATGATGCTAGAGTCTGCTGGAGCATGGTAATTACTCAATTAAGTCTGCTCCGATGTGCTGTAATTACAGTGCATTGGAGCAGCCTCCCCGTAAGTGTATAGGTGCTATGGTCTTTTGGGTCCCATGAGGGGTGGGGGAGAAGGTGGCAGCCCCAGAGGTTTTGGGGCTGCAATTGGATCGATGCAGCTCTTCTTCCCCTTAGTCAGGAAGCATGCTGAAGCCCCCTGCCTCCAGAGGGCTGTAGTTAGGGAGTGTAAAAAATCACATAAACTCCTGCAACTGGTAGCAGAACTCTAAAATGTCATGTAAGTGGCTTTTTTGTTTTGCAAAAAAAAAAAAAAAAGGGCAGGGGGAGGGGCTTACCATTTGGGCTAAAAGTTGCAAAATGTAAAGCTTTGCAATATGTATAATGTGCAGGGGTCATTAAAGTCTTTTTAGTACCTTTCTGATCTAAATATGCACTATTTTTTAGGGATTCCCTAGAGTATATCTAAAGTAGTTCATGGAATGTAAATTGCATCCTCTAAATGAAGAGGCAAAACTGAAGACAGCTTTTAAGGGCAAGTTATCTGTAGTGTAAAAAGCCACTGACCCAACCTCTTGCATGTTGGTCTCCTACATGAGGGAAATTCTGTGACTGATGTAGGTACTAGTACATAATGTAGCATCTCATGAAATGGTGGCTACATATGTTACAAAACAAGTACACAAACAGAAATAGCATACAAGAAGTTTGTGCATTTAGCATTTCCAGTCAATGTACAATACATTTAGTTCTTTAGGAAATATATTAAGTACTTTCATTTAATTTGCAAAATATTTTGTTTCTTGGTTCAGAGATACGGTTTTAGAATCTAAGTTCAATGAAACTTTTAGAAATATTTTGTAGAAAAATAATCGCAAATCTCTTAAAACAGGGGAAATTGAGGAGAAAACCTGAGTGAAGAAACGAGTCAAATATACAATAATAATAATAAAGATCCCAGTTCACATTTTGCTTTATTGCAGATGGACATTCTTATTGATTTTAGTGGAAATCACTGTAAGAAAGTGGTTGCTGTAATAAAGTTAATCATGTGCACTATCATCCAAAAAGAGACGCCAAAAAGAATGCAAAGGAAAAAAAGTCATTAAAGAAAAAAGGGAAAAAATTCAGATATGAAAGAAAGCTGGTTCTTAGAGATAAAAACTTAAAAACAAAATCTCTCTCTCTCTTACACACACACACACACACACACACACACACACACACACTCGCTCTCTCTCTCTCCCCCTCCCCCTCCCTCCTCACCACTGTTGGAGGAAAAACAGAACTGGATTTAGAAGGAAGAACAAACAAGGATTATGTGCTAAGGTGCCAAGCTAGCAATTGACTTTGGTTGGGGCCCCACGCTGGTGCAGACCCTGTGGAGGCAAGTGCATTTTCTACAGTACGCTTGGCAGGATTGAAGCCTGCAAGCTATTGGATAGTTTTTAGGTGCCAAAATGGAACATTGTAGATAGAAACAAATAGTGCAAGTTGCTGGACAACCACAATGCTCCTTGGATGTTGAAGGGGATCAGCAGTGTTCAGGAGGTCTTCTGCACTTTATTGGGTGCATCCTTCTAAATCCAGGGGTTGTCAACTGGGGGTATGCGTACTCCCAAGGGTATTTGGAAAGGGGCTAGGGGGTAAATGCAGGTGGGCAGGGATGAAGCACTATCACCCACCACCCCATGCCACCACCTCCCAAGAGCAGGGCTGGGGGGGAGGGGGGGGGCAAGGGTAACGGCTCCCCTCTGCAGGCTGCACAGGTGCCCCCTACCCCGCTGGACATGGTGGGGGTGGAGTTTGCACACAGTGGTTGCCACCACCATCCACCACCCCATGCCACCACTGCCACGTGCAAGCCTCCTCACCGCTCCAAATCTGGCCACCGTCACCCACAAGGGGTATACTCCTTAAAAAAAAAAATATTGAAAACTGCTATAAATCCATTACAAACAAACTGGAGCTGATGGAATGTAACATATGGAATGCATATATAGCAAGTATGTAGCATACTTAATATACTTCTCACTTTTCACTGCATACAGATTTTTCACCTGCTTTTAGTTATCATGGATTTATAATTCCTTGGCTCTGTTTGGGGAATTCCAGTCTTCTTAAATAACATTTATCCCTATAAATAGCTTCTTACTAATGTCTTCTCACCTATGCTGCTCTCTTCCATTTCCTTCACTCTTTTAAAGTACTTTACTTTTAGTGTCTCATTCCCCAGGAAAGCTTTTTAACATGCATTTTGCTTGTTAAAATATTAAAAATTAAGGAACATTGTTTCCAATACTTATCAGTATAAGGCTGTCCCTGATGTGGTCTGTGTGGGAACCTGATCAGCTTCATACAGTTTGAGGCCTTGGTTTGAAATCTGTGACCTGTGGTCATGATAGTACAGGGGCATTTTTATGTGTGTGTAATCTGTGTACAGTTCATTATAAGCCTGCTAAGTATAGACTTGCAGGTGGCCAAGTAAGATGATATATTGCCACATTCTTTTTTAGCTATGTATTAGGTTACAGTTCTTATCCCAGGTGGGGATTCACAGGGGGGTGCAGTGGCATGGTCATACCTCCTCTCCCCTTCCCCTTTTTGAAACATGCTGCTGTAGGAGCAGCAGCCAGAGACTTTTTAAAAATCTTTAAATTAGGTAAGAATTCTCTTTCTCCCAGTGGTGTAACAAGCAGAGTTGGTGCCCAGGGCAGTCCCTGGAGGAGAGTGGGGGGATGAGGTATGTGGTTCCAAGAGTCGGGGGGAAGGGTGGACCCTCTTACACTATTGTAATCTCTAGTTACACCCACCCCTCCCTTCCCTTCCATGTTCAGCAGCATGCCCTTTCGCCTTTCTGTCCACTTCCCTGCCCACAACTCTCTCAGGATGATCTGGAGTGATGGATAGCTCCAGAACCCCTCCTACCCAGCTCCACCAATTCTGCACAGGGAGCCGGGCATAACTGGGGACAGCAGCAGCAGTGGATGGGTTCTTCCTCTGCCCAATCAGCTGGGTGTTCCCCACCATCCTGGGTGCAGGCATGTGGAGGGGAAATCCGTGTACTACTGCTACCTCTGTTCCCAGTCAAACCTGGCTCCTTGTACAACCTCTCTGCAGCCCCTGCTGGAGTGGAGCAGGAGCAGCTGGGACAGTAGCAGCAGTGGGAGGGTCCAGAGGTGTAAGTAGAGGGCTCTGGAGCTCCCTTCTGCTGTTGGGTTAACCAGGGACATACTGCTAAGCATGAAGGTAATGAGGGTAGGTGCCAAGAGTTGCGGGGGGGATTTTTGTTTCAAGAACTTAAAGTTCCCTGGTTGCTGCTTCCATGGCATGTTCTACCTGCCCTGGGTGGGGTGGAGAGCCAACGAGCAAGTGAGTGCAGCCCCCTCTGCAGTGCTGGTTACTGCTATCACACACCCTTTTTAGAATTCTGAACTGTCAATGGGAATATAATTCTTCTAAAGTAAAACATACCAGGAAGGAACTACTTAGATGGCTTGGTAGTAGTACTGTGTTCAGTTTGGGACTCCACACTTCAAGAAAGTTGTGGGTAGGTTAGAAAGAGTTCAGCAGAGAGTGACCAAAATAATTAGAAACCTGAAAAGCATGATGAAAGGCCAAAATAATTAGGGTTATTTAGTCTGGAGAAGAGAAGACTGAAGGGGGATTTGATAACAGTCTTCAAATACTTGAAGGACAGTTATAGAGGTGATGGAGATGGGCTATTATCTGTAGTTGTAAAGACAGATCTAGGAGCAATGGACTAAAGTCACAGCAAAGGAAATTTAGGTTAGGGATTAAGAGTAACTTTCTGATTGCGAGGCTGGCCAAGCATTGGAACAGACTACCTAGAAAAGTTCTGGAATTTCCATCCCTAGATATTTTCAAGAGCAGGTCAGACAAGTACTTGTCTGGGATGACAGTCTTATAAGTCAGTTGAACAGGGATTTGGACTACATGACCTTGTGAGGTCCTTTACAGCCATAGGCTGTGTGTAGACAAAATGAAGGGCATGTGTGTATAACACTTTAAAGTGGGTTACATGGGGGTCATGATTGACCACAAGATGAAAATGAGCCTTCAATGTGATGCTGTGGCTAGTAAAGCGAGCAAAGCATTGGCTTGCATCCATAGATGCTTCTCAAGCAAATCCCAGTACATCATTTTTGTGTTGTACTCGGCCCTGGTGAAGCCGCAACTGGAGCACTGCATCCAGTTTTGTGCTCCACAATTCAAAAGGATGTGGATAAGCTTGAAAAAATCCAGAGGAGAGTCACGTGCATGATCAGAGGTCAGGAAAAAAGACCTTACAATGAGAGGCTGAGAGCCATGGGACTCTTCAGCCTGAAAAAGTACAGGCTTAGAGGTGGTGGCCACCTATAAGTTTATTAGGGGTGCTTACCAGGATCTGGGGGAATGTCTGTTCACCAGAGCACCCCAGGGGATGATCAAACAGTCACAAACTCCTCCATGACTGTTTCAGGCTGGACATAAGGAAGAACTTCTTTACTGTCCAAGCCACCAAGGTCTGGAACAGACTGCCGCTGGAGGTGGTTCAAGCACCTACATTAAATGCCTTCACAAGACATTTGGATGTCTGTCTTGCTGGGATCCTATAACTCCTGCTGACTTCCTGCCCTTTGGGCAGGGGGCTGGACTCAATGATTTTCCGAGGTCCCCTCCAGCCCGTATGTCTATGAAATCTATGAAAATGCTTTTACATTGCTTTAATAGTGGTATTTGCATGCATCAGTGGCATATTGCACAATAATTCCAGCCACTGTAGGAAATTTGGTGGTGTAATGTGCCTTAAATGACTTGGGGTGCAGCAAACTAAAACTCCTCAGAGGAGTTTTAGTTTGCTGCCTTCCAGCTGTGGCGCAAAGCACTGTGCAAGAAGCTCATGCAGGCAGCCTGGCAACAGCCCAGGAAGGCAGGCTCTGCTCAAGTTCTTTTTTTTTTTCTTCTGGAGCCTGCCTTCCTGCCTGAGCTGCACGGGGGCCTGGTGCTTCCCTCCACAGCTGCAGTGTCCCCTGGGACTGCCTGAGCCGGGTGCCTGCGGGCAGGTGCCACCTGGGTGGGGGCTGCTGCTGCCATGGAGGGAAGCACCAGCTCCCTGCCCCACCCCAGCAGCCCAGGGACCTCTCTGCCTCACAGCAGCTCACTCTCCCCTCC